GTAATAATAACAGTGTCCAATATTAATTAAACAAGTACTGTATGCCAGATATTGTTGTGCTAAATTCTTATTGTGGTCTATCTCATTTAACCCCCAAACAACCCTAAATGATTTGCAACATTATTTTATCTGTATGTGCAACTATCTGTGTGTCTCTCTTCTGTGACTGGCTTGAAGCCCAGTACCTTGCCCCAGTGCATAGAAAAACCAAGTGAAAGTGCTTGCACTGGAGCGATGGCTCCATAGACTTAGTCAGCACTAGACCAACTCCCATATTTACAGATAAACAAGTAGTTAGATGCATACATAAACCAGTGTGTGCATATGAGTGTATTTATGTCAGACTCCAGATGGGTAGAGAAAGAAACAGATATTATTTAGATCAGAGCCAGGATTTGGGTTTCAAACTACTTTAGTGCTAGAGGTAAAAACAGACATGGAAGCCCAGTTCCTCCCCTATCTACTGCCAGGCATAAATGGGAGGGCAAGGGCCTTCTCAGGAGCTATCACTTTCCTTGGGTGTCTCCTCGTACCATTTGGTGGATTGCRTTTGCTAAATGATGAGAAAATTAATGTGACAATAAAATTTCACAAAACTATGGTTTTGCTCTGTTCAGGCTATGTGTCACTACTCACCCAATTCCCCTTTCTCATTTCTGTTTTCAGAAGAATACTCCTTTCCCAGTGAACCAGGTTTCTTTGTTACCTTCAAAGATAATTAAGTAGGACTGGGTGCAGTGGTGCATGCCTGTAAGCCCAGTGACTCTGGAGGCTGAGGCAGGAGGATAGCGTTGTTCAACTTAGCAAGACAGTGTCCCCAAATAAAAAGTATTGGGGATTTGGTTCAGCGGTTAAGTGCTCCTGGGTTCAATTCTCCGGTACCATAAAAAAAAAAAAGAAAAAGATAATTAGGTGGATCTTTTGATTTAAGAAGTTCATAGCACTATAAGAAAATAACTAGGGGTTGTTCCATGAAAGAATGCAAAGCCCAAGGAGTCCTTGAAGTTCTGGAACAGGCTTGTCATTTACAATGGTTTTTAGACTCCATGTTTTGATGGGGCTTGTTACCTAGGCTGTTGATATCGAATGGCATCTTTTCTCAGTGGAAGATGCAATCCAGCCAGAGTCAAATTCCTCTTCTCCCAAAGTGATATTTGAATCATTAATGATTTTTTGCGTGGAAGGCATCTTGTTTACTAGACTTCTGCCCCACCTGGAAATGATCACCCTGGGCTCTTCTCAAACCAGGACATTAACGCCTGCCTCTGGTCCCATAGTATTAAGAGAGCTTCTCTTTTCCTCATGTCTACTAGATGTCAGAAATTGCATCAGAGACTTTACAAATGCAATCTTCATAAGAACTCTATGAGATGGATTCAAGTGTATGCATTTTATAGAAAATAAGACTAAATCAGAGATTCCAAGTAATGTATTTCTATTGGGAGAGGGCAGATTTTTTTGAACCTTGAGTAGCCTGATTGTATTGCTCATGTTAAATTTGGATTTTCATCTCTAAAGCCATTTCTTGTTACATCATGTATTGCCTTCTGAATGTAAGAATGATTTTAATAACCTGTAGTTGCTAGATTGATGAAGCAACATCCTGATGTTCAATTCACCTTGTGGCTAGCAATCCATATTTGAGAAATATGTTATCTGAGTGACTGATATAGGAAACAGAATGAATCTAATTAGATTTTATGAAGCCAGAGACTTGAAACCTTGGCTTCAGGGACAACAGAATTTAAACAGGTAAACTAAATAAGAACTCAGACTAGTATTGAGCCACTTAGTAATTTACTTATCTCAAATTAGTGACTTGAAAGATGAGTTAGCTACTCTCATTTCACCCCTCTTTGAAATTCTAAATAGCTTGAAAGATTTGTACAGCCTCCAAACTGACTTCATTAAAACCAGAGAATAGTTGGTGTTTGGGGAGAATTTAACACCCTCTACCTAATTGTGTTTCATGTTTGTAAAGTTATTGGATTGGCATAGATTTTTTAAAAATGTTATTCATAGAGAAAAAATGATTCTAAGCTGTTTCATATTTAGAATGCTAAAATTGTTTTCTCTGTCAAGTTTGACTGTAAATCCATAAAAGGATATGCCCCCAAACATGACACTTAGTTAGATCTTAGTAAACAATTGTGCCATGAATGAAGAATGAGTTGTTAGTTTAGTATTACATGTAAATGTGTTTATGCTGGCTTTCATTTTTTTATACAGAATTTCCTTTGTCTTCGTATTCCTCCTTGGCCAAAGAATGCTTGTCCATGAACGAAAAAAAAACTGTCTAAAAGATGCTTCACTGCTGCATGTTCAAAATTTGTGCAAATGTTAATTTAAGATACCTTTGAGAGCACCTTTTATATGTCTGTATTTAGAATCTCATTTAAGTTTATTCTCATGTCCCAGCCTCACATCTTCTGATTGCTTATTCAAGATTTAACTGTTTTCAGGGCCCCTTCTTTTGAATTCCAGCTTCCTCAACCTTTATATATATATTTTTAATATATAAGAATAGTAAATGCTGCCAAGTGAACAAAAACATAAAGGTTGAACCTGTCACMTCTCTACAACATATTGAGGCAATTCTTTGAAAGTTAATGTATTTCAATGACTACTGGGAACCCAGATTCTATGAGGGACAAAAATTGTCTCATTTTTTGGCTCTCTTTTTTAAATCATTCTTTTAATCTTAATTTGTTTTATATGACAACATAATGGATTACAATTCACATTACACATATAGAACACAATTTTTCATATCTCTGGTTGTACACAAAGTAGAGTCACATCCTTCATGTCTTCATACCTGTACTTAGGGTAATGATGACCATCGCATTCCATTGTCTTTCCTACCCCTATGCCCCTTTCCTTTCTCTCCCTCCCCTTTTCCCCTTTGCCCTATCTAGAGTTCATTTAATCCTCTCACCCCACGGCCCCAGCTCCCCACAACATATTATGAACCAGGGCCCTTATCAGAGAAATAATTCAGCATTTGTTTTTTTGGGATTGGCTAATTTCACTTAGCATTATATTCTCCAGCTCCATCCATTTATCTGCAAATGCCATGATTTTATTCTCTTTTAATGCTGAATAATATTCCATTGTGTATATATACCACATTCTCTTTATCCATTCATCTGCTGAAGGACATCTAGGTTGGTTCCTATTGTGAATTGTGCTGCTATAATCTGTTTCCTTATTTTAGATAACCAACAGTAATTCAGGCTTTGTTTATAAGTGTTACAATGCTTCCTGGTTATGGCTATCGAAAATTGCAGATTATGGCTATCAAAAATTGTACAAAAGTATGAAGTTTGACCAGGTACCTAAAAAGGTCTAACCCTATGGCAATTCTTCAGAGCATTATTTCCTAAACTTCATCTATTTGAGTTATACTTTTTGATTTTGTTCATATGTGCTTATTACCTACAGATGATTTATTTTTATTTTCATTGAATTGGCTCAGTAAACCTAAAATAATAAATTTAGCCTCCACTGAAGTAATATAAATTTGTAATGCCAATAGTTTATATTTCTAATAAATGTTAAAATAAATACATAGTTACTGAACTAAAAAAAATTCTCAATCAATTAAAATCATCCCTCATAACCCCTGATCTTCCTAATCACATACTGAGACTCACTGGATTAGTGATTGCTTTGGGGTTTACACTGAGCATATTCTTAGTGGGAGAAGGAGAGAACCTGGCACCATAGGTCATCATTTTTTGGACAACCTAACTTTAGGGCAGAAAGTAAAAGATATAGAGGAATCCTCATGCCTCTGTTTCCTTCTAAGGACCACAACCCGGAAGTTGTTAACAATGAGCAGCAGTATTATTATTATTATTATTATTATTATTATTATTATTATTTTGTATTGAGGATTGAACCCAGGGGCACTTAACCACTAATCCATATTCCCAGCCATTTCTTGTATTTTTTTTAGAGATAGGGTTTCACTGAGTTGCTTAGGTCCTCGCTACCTTGCTGAGGCTGGCTTTGAATTGCTGGGATTACAGGTGTGTGCCAGTGTCACTAATAAAACCTCCACCTTGTGAGGAATGCAGATGTGTTGTATTCTTTTTTTTTAACTTTATGTATTATAATTTGTTATATATGACARCAGGATGCAATTATACAAATAAAACACAAATTTTCGTATCTCTGGTTGTACACAAAGTAGAGTCACACCATTCATGTTTTCATACATGAACTTAGGGTAATAATGTCCTTCTCGTTCCATGGTCTTATCTATCCCTACGCCCCCCTTCCTTCCCCTCCCTCCCCTTTAACATAGATACCCTTATTACATGAATGAATAAAGAAAATGTGGTATATATGCACAATGGAATATTACTCAGCATTAAAAGAGAATAAAATCATAGCATTTTCAGGTAAATGGATGAAGTTGAATAATATAATGCTAAGTGAAGTAAGCCAATTCCCAAAACCCAAATGCTGAATGTTTGTTTCTGATATAAAGATGCTGATTGATAATGTGGATGTGGGGAGCATGGGAGGAATAGATGTGCTGTATTCTAAATTTGGGCAAGCCTTCTTACTGTAGCCATGCAGGGAGCTGGAGAGTTGTGACATTCCCAAGCCTCTGACTCTGTGGCTGCTTCTTTGAATCTTATCTTTGCTGTGCTAACATCCAAATAGCAATATTGTTGGGATGCTTTTGACAGCTATCCAGAGAATGCCCAAAGAGAACAACAGAGTGCTTAGGTGCCATATTTGTGCTTGCAAAGGAAAGGGGAAGAGTGAACCCAAATGCCAGCTTCTCTTCATGCAGGGATAAAGGAAACTATCACTAGCTTCGCTTCTGGATGCATGGAGACATTTGTTGCTCATTGAACGATGATGAATGCTGTGTGTTTCTATTTATGAAACAGAATGAGAGGGGTGGTGGGGACTGTTGGAAAATGAAACCTCACTTGGTTGTTCCTGATTCTGTGCCTCCTCGTCTCAGGTCCCTGAGCAACATGGGAAATGGTTCAGTGAAACCCAAACATTCCAAGCATCCAGATGGCCACACTGGGAACCTCAGCACTGATGCCCTGCGGAGCAAGGTGACGGAGCTGGAGAGAGAGCTGAGGAGGAAGGATGCTGAGATTCAAGAGCGGGAGTACCATTTGAAGGAGCTGCGGGAACAGCTGTCGAGACAGACCGTGGCCATTGCTGAGCTCACGGAGGAGCTCCAGAACAAGTGCATCCAGCTGAACAAGCTTCAGGATGTGGTGCATATGCAGGGAGGAAGCCCACTCCAGGCCTCTGTGGATAAAGTGCCTCTTGAGGTCCACCGGAAGACCTCGGGATTGGTCTCTCTCCATAGCAGAAGGGGAGCAAAGGCCGGGGTGTCTGCGGAGCCAACAACCCGAACCTATGACCTCAACAAGCCCCCTGAGTTTTCCTTTGAGAAAGCGAGAGTCAGAAAGGACTCCAGGTAAGAAGTTCCATGCCGTTTTAATTCAGATGGCCTTAATGTTAAGAAGGACCAGAGTGATAACTATGAAGGCTTTTGAATGGTGAAGAGCATGTAAACTCTCAGATGTGGGGCTAGAGGGGATTCCCAAATGGTTTTGTTTTACAAAAGTATCTCTCATTAAGTAGAACATTTCTTTAAAGCAAAAATTGCACTTTATGTGGACTTTGAGGTGTATAGACATAAATGCAGACATAATGAGTTGCTGAGTTTACTAAAAGCCCTTTCCATTATCTTACAATCCCTGGAGGAGTGAGGAGGTAGGTTTAGGAAGTCTATACTTCTTTTCTTTTAGAGTAGACCTAAAAATGTACACAAATCACAATAAAATATGAATATGTATAGCAAAAACCACTTCTGAGTAGTTAAAAGGAGGCTGACTTCATTCATTCGCTATACCATTTATGTTGAGCACTGTTCTCTGCCAGCCACTGTGTTGATTGCTTAAAATAAATATTCCCAGATCCTTTTTTTGTGGGGGAGATTGTATACCCAGAAACAAATAAGAGATGTATAATTATTAATTGGGTTAATGTTGTGATGGAAACCAGCAGTATAATGGGTTGTGTTGAGGGTGAGGGGGAAAGAAAGGAAGCAGGAAAGAGGAGCAGAATTGTGATGAAGGCCTGGTTGAGGTGGTGACCTTGAGCTGAAATATAAAGAGGTCAAAACCAACCAAGTAGAGACTAAGTGGAAAGAACATTTTAGGRAGAGGGAACAATTAAAAGCTAGAATGCATTTTAAAAGTTAGAATTTTTTTCTCTTTAAAAATTTTTTAGTTAACATAATTGTGCATATTTATGAGGTACAGTGTGATATGTAAACACATGTACACAGCACTTACTGGTCAATTAAAGGTGATTAGCATTTTTATTTCTTTATCATTTATGTTTGGAGCAAAAATTAGAAATTTTAAAAGAACATATAAATATCGCAACAATTTTGTGTGTATATGAATATGTATATGCATGTGTATATTTTTCTGGCTTAAGTTTTATTTTCCTGACCAGGAAAGATTGATTACAAATATGAGTTAGGATTCTCCTTTTGCATGGTTTTTAAATAAGTAAATATTTAYTAACTGAAATGAGATCTTTTGCTTTACTATTGCTGTGGCTGAGCCTGGATCACTGTGGCAAAATGCAAGAGCTGTGAAATTAAATCAAATTTTAATTTATTCATAGACACAAGTAATATAAATCAGAATAAAACATTCAACCTAAGCAAATGAAAGATTTATTTTGACAACAAAATTACAAAGGGGGGTTTAACTCATCAATTTGTTGACAGCAGTTGGTGGCATATATGAAATTATTGATAAATATTTGTTAAGGAAACTAGTCATACTGGATTATTAATCATAATATTCTATGGCTGAAAAAATATGATTAATATTAGGTTTCAGGAAAGTTTTATTAAGCCAAATGTTTTATTATTAATTGGTTTAGAAAGATCTTATCTACTCTCCTTTAAAAGTAATACTTGTTTTAATGCTATGAACTCAGAAATTTTAGCTGTCACAAAATTGCACTTGTTTTTCAAACTTGAACAGCATCCAGTGTTACTTTTTGATATATCAGAGACATTTGAACTTATATTAATATTGTATATTATTCATTATGCTACATATGTACATAAATATATTATGACTAGCAATATGCTTTCATATGTAGGACAGTGTGTCAGAGAGTTTAGTAGCAATTCATCTTCTTTGACCCTATCCTTACATAGGCCACTAGATTTCTCCTCTTGAATGAAGATTTTGTTCAATTACTTTGTTCAAAGAGTTATGCTTATTTTGAGACAAAATACCATTTTCTTGGTGCTAAATAATCTGAGATAAGCATATTTCTTTGAATTTCTTTATTAGCTCTTTTATAACCAGGCAAAGAAAATCAGTAATTACATGCTGTCAATTTCTGAGACAAACTGCATTTCTTTTCTTCTGTCTAGTGAGGGACACAGGAAAGACATTATAGCTTCTGAATAAGGATTATCAATGACTGTTCTCACCCTAAAGGCAGACCACGTGGGTACCAGTCTATGTTGAGGTCAGAATGAGGAAATGAACTAATTTGTTTCTTAATGATTGGTCCTAAAAAAGAGCAGACTAGATCATTCATGCCCTAAAACGTTTCATCTGCTTTCTCAGAGCCTTGTGCTTCTATATTAAAAAACAGAATATGGAGTCACTCTTTTCTCATTGACTGATATGTACCACACTTTCCCTTGAAAAAAGTATAACTATGTCTCTCTGAAATAATTGCTTAAACACAGCCAATTTCATCAATTCAGAGACTTATTTTTTTTTTTCGTTTTTCATTTCTAACAATTTCTTTTTCATTTCCAAGAAGTTCTAATTCGGAAGAAAAAACAAATGTCAACCTTGAATATTTTTAATATCTCTTTTATGCAATATATCAAAATTTTGTAAGGAACAATTTTCTAGAAGTTAGAGCATTAACAAGATGGGAGCATCTTCCACCGCTAAAAGGATTATGCACATTATGTATTGGTTTGGCTACTCTATCAAGCAGGGCTTGCTAGATATTAGAGAATTTAAGAACCTCAGTCAAAATGACTTCTCTGTTTATTCTTAGTTCTCATGATTTATTTGTCAAACTTTTTATAAACTTTACTAGCTGAATCTAAGATTAAATCTTGTTCCTACTACATATGTATCAACTACATTTTGGATAAAATTTACCCTTCACATGGAACAGAAAGCCATTGGATGGAGTTTCAGTAATTTTGTCAAAAGGAATGAATGTCTCTAGTAAGTATCACAGAGCAAGAAACTGAGGGGAGACTATCAAGTCTCCCACAATCAACAGTATTTTTAATATCTCTTTTATGCAATATAAGCCCTGGTAGATGGCAGAGTACACAATTTGATAGAATGACAGATTCCAAGTTTGAGGATTCAGATTCAGTAATCTGAATCTTCTTTACAAGAAACTAACTCATGAACATCAGTGTGTGGTTTTCCGAGTCTCCTGTGATCAGATGTATTGTGAATGATGAGTAACATGCTTCAGCTTCAGGGCTGCCCCCAGCTCATCCCAGCTTTGTTGTCGGATACCCATCAAGTAGGTAGTTAGTGTCCAAGGGCATAACTTAAACTGTGTACTTGTACCTCTGTTCTTTATATAGAGAAACAATAATGGTATTCTAATGGTACTGGGGAATCTGGGCAATTGTCTCACAAAATTCTCAGGTTCACTTTTTAGGATCTGGTTCTAAAGTAGTTCAGTGCTGTGCAGTTGAAACTTCTGCAGTGACAGAAATTTTCTGTAATCTGTATTCATTCAACAAGATGGTAGCCAAAACCCAAATTTGGCTACTAGGTAATTAAAAATTTGGCTGCTATAACTAGGGGACTGGATTTTTAATTTTAATTCATTGGAAAATTAAATACCCATATGTCTCATGACTGATGAACTAGATATTGCAATTCTAGACTATATGGTTTAGATGGCAACTGCTGTGGCGTGAAATGAGAATTATGATCTAGTGCAGTTTGGGTATACTTTATAGACAAAGTAAGACCAGTGTGAAATTTTATGAAGYCACAGAAAATAAGAATATGACTCTTAGATTGAGGTGGGCCCTAAATGGAATTGCTGGGAAGCTGCACTGGAATCTTCATAACCTTTTGTAGTGACTTGGCCTTGTGCCTGTGGACCATTTTAGATCTTCAAAAGCATATAGCTGTGCAGACATGTAGCCTGTTTCTATTATAGGCTCTCAGCGTTTTTGCATTATTATAAAATCACATGACAAGTCAGAGTACTAGCAAATATTCTGATCTCTGATTTAAATGTAATAAGGGGAACATCAGAAGACTTTAGAACTAGAAGAAAATTAAACATTATTTCATGCTACCCTCCTGGAGATTGCAGAAACAGGTGCAGGGGAGTTATAGAATACACCGTGAAAGGTGGTAGAGCCAGGATTGGAATATAAGACTCTTGATTTTGAAACCAGTTCTTCTTCTCTGCAGTCCTGCTCTAGTGTTTTCAGATCTGCCCGCAAAATGAAAAAAAAAAAAAAAAAAAAAAAGGCCTCTAGTCAGACCAGTTTGGGCACCAGTCTACTTTTTGATGATATACCCAGTTGACTGGTAATAAGAACAATGGTGCTTCCTGCATCTTCCATGTGGAGCTGAGCTGAGCTTGCCCATTGCATAGTTGTCACTAAGAGCTGCATCCTCAGAGCTCTGACTGAGAGGAAAGGACTTTGAGAATGATTTGATCTATCTGATGGCCCAAACTGTGGTGTATATGGAAGGTTACATATRTATCATGTATAGTGCTTCTTAAGGCTGAAGACTGGATATCAGTGGTAAAGAAGGACAGAGAGAAGAGCAGATAGTTTTTCTGTCCATCTCCAACCTGCCTTGAGCATGGAGACAATCAAACATCCAGAGGTCAGACCTTTTACTGAAATTAAGTTTTCTGTTTATGTAGAGACATCGTTTAGCAAACTTCAGCACTGGCAGAGCAAAATTACAGGCTCATGCTGAATGTCTGGTGGAACACAGGAAAATTAATCAGAGACATCTGGCAAGTAGCTGTATGACTGTTTTTTTTTTTTTTTTTTTTTTTGCTAAGAATGCTTAAACTATCATTTGAAACTATTGTTCTTTCATGAAAAGGAAAGATAAAACAAAGACTTGCCATCTGACTTCAGATGTTGGCTCCAGTTTTTGGAAGGACAATTAGTTGTATTTGTCATTCCCGCCCCAGGAGCAAGATAGGTAAAAGTGGAAAATGCAAGTGAGTCACACATTTAAATAAGATGTGGAAAAGGAGTGAGGGAGAGTATGTTGTTATTATTTGTGCTCGTTTTCTAAAGCAGCGCTGAGGAATCGATARTGCATTGGAGAAATGTGTTTCCTTTATTAAATAAGAAAGTTTCTATGGAAAGAAACAACATTTATACATCGCTAATCTGTGCTA